TAGTCCTGTTGCTGGACCTTAGTAGGAATTTTCTGTTCGGCAGAGGCCGTCAGAACCCTGGAGAGTGCCTTCTCCATCGAGGCCGCTATAGCCTTTTGAAAATCAGTAGTGTTTTGAGAAGAATCCATGGTTATAATATTGACCACAAAATATTGTACTTGGCACAGGGCGCAGGTTGGGCCAGGGGTCAGTCTGTATTAATAATGGTACCAGCAGTACCAGTTCAACCCCAGCAGGGTGAATAGTAAATATGTGCAGTGGTACCGGCAGTACCAAAAAACCCCAGCAGGGTATTATTGTTTTTTTTCACTGGGCCACACCCAGGTATATAGAGGATGTATAATCACACCTCATAAGCAGCATAAATATTAGGGGCCACACCCCAAGAGTACAGGGTATTGAAACCCTATTGTGCTTTAATACACAGACTGCAGTAACTGACCTTGTGACCCCCTGCCTTACACACACTCGTTGAAGAAGTTGTCTGGGACGTGTTTGAAGGTGACCGGGTGTAAGTAGGAGCCAGGCGCCGTCTGCACGGAGCTCGGGGAGGCTAAAAATGGCGGCCATGGATCTCGCGAGATGCGAGATCCAAGATGGCTGCCGCCGGCGCTGGGAGCGCAAATCCCGTGAGCGCTGGTCGGGATGTGTGTGGTCGAGAGACCGCGGGGTAGGGGTAAATGGAGGGGGTGAGCGTTACCCCGAAGGTGTCAGGAGTGAGTAATCCACCGTTGGGGCGGCGGATAGCTCGGGAAAGCGGCCGCAAAGGCCGGTGGAGGAAAAACCCAGAAAAAAGCCCCAAAGATAAGGGGAGACAGTGAATACAGGGACTGGGGTCCCTGTAGGAAGTGATAAAGCGTAGAATATAGGGTAGGAACAGTCCAGATAAGACTCTAACCTGTCTGCTGATGGAGCAGTAAAGAAAGAGGGGGAGGAGCCTCATCACTGTGAATACTATACAGCATATTGCATTTTGATTGGTTATCGTTTTCACTTTTCTTTACTGCTATGTGGAGTTAGTAAAGAGAGTTATATGCAAAATAGGAAGCCTCCTGTCATGTGGTAAAATTATCAATATATTAAAGATGTAGCTACTGTTGCAATAAAATAAACTAATTTGCTGTAAACTCCAAGAGATGGATATGCAGTCTATTTATTTAGTGTGATCAGTTGAAAAGGTCTCGCTTTTTGTATGTATATGAGAGGACCCTATGGAGCTTATCTCTTTGAGGGGAAAATATAATAGATGCGGATTGGCCAGGATAGTGTTTGGCTCCGCATCCAGTTCACCTCCTTGTCTGAGATCATCAGAATTGACAAGATCAGCCAATCTAATGCTTTCCTATGGTAAAACATTGTGATTGTCTAAGATCATCACTTCTGATGACGTCAGCCAAGGAGGCAAATCAGGGGCAAAGCCAGCACAACCAGACTCAAATAAAGGTAAGATTGTGTTATATTTAGGGGAGCAGGGGAGCGGGGGGGTGGGGGGGAGGGAGGGCTAGATAGTTTTTTTAACACTATAGGGTCAGCAATATTTGTTTTTGTTCCTGACCCTATAGTGATCCTTTAAGGCACCTTATGAAGTGGCATACCTCTAGTTAAATGAAAGCTTGTAATTTTACAAGGTTTATCCAGTGATGCTGAATGTATTGACTCTATACAAATAAAAAATATATATGATTCCTTCATCATACACTGTTTTTTTAAAATATATACCAAAGTGCAATGGAGGAGTTAAACAAGTCAACCTACATTTGAATCATTTTTTTAAATCATGTTTGAACTAATCTTGATTATTCAGCTGTGACTTACAATGCTGGGTTGAATGTGATATTCTTGTTCCAACAGATAAGCACTCTCATGCTTCTGTTTAAAAAAATCCTAACTCAGCTTCTGTAAGAAGCTGACAAACAAATGTATCACACTTTATTCCTTGGGGTTGTATAACACTCAGCTGTGGTGAGAGTAAATGGTGTGGCGTTAAATGAAACTAATGAGGCTCTACAATTTAGAAAGAGGAACATGTGTGCTAATTGTAAACAGAAAATAGTGTTGCATCCTGTTAGCTGATTTATATAGTATACACTAATTAGCCACAACATTAAAACCACCTGCTTAGTATCATGTAGGTCCCCCTCGTGCTGCCAAAACAGTTCTGATACATCAAGGCATGGACTCCACAAGATCTCTGAATGTGTCCTGTGGTATATGGCACCAATACATTAGCAGCAGATCATTTTAGTTCTGCAAATTGCAAGGCGGGGCCTCCATGGATTAGACTTGTTGTTCCAGCATATCTCAATTGGATGCTCAATTGGATTTAGATCATGGGAATTTGGAGGCCGAGGCAACAAATTTCACTCTATTTCATGTTCCTCAAACCATTCCATAACAATTTTTGCAGTGTAGCAAGGTGAATCACCCTGCTGGAAGAGGCCACTGACATCAGGCAATACCATTGTCATGAAGGGGTGTATGTGGTCTGCAACAATTTCTAGGTAGGAGGTATGTGTCAAAGTAACATCTACATGAATACCAGGACCCAAGGTTTCACCGCAGAACATTGTCCAGCAAATAACACTGACTCTACCAGCCTGCATTCTTCTGATAGTGCATCCATGCGGCCATCTCTTCCCCAGGTAAATTACATACATGAACCAGCCATCCACCTGATCCTAAAAGAATTAGTGATTCATCAAACCAAGCAACTTTCTTCTATTGCTTCATGGTCCAGTTCTGACGCCCACATTCCCATTGAAGGAGCTTTCGGCAGTGAACAGGAGTCATTATGGGCACTCTGACCAGTCTTTCAGTCTTCAAATGGATTAGCCTTCACTCCCCACATACACCAATGAGCCTTGGGTGTCCATGACCATAATGCCAATTCACTGGTTTTCCTTCCTTGAACAAGTTTGGGTAAATAATAAGCACTGCATACCGGGATCACCACACAAAACTTGCCATTTTGAAGCTGTTCTGACTCAGTCGTATAGCTATCACAATTTGGCCCTTGTCAAAGTCCCTCAGATCTTTTTACTTGCATATTTTCCATGCTTTCAATGCATGTAATTCAAGAACCGACTATTCCTTTGCTGCCTAATATATCACCCCTTGACAGTTGTCATCGTAACAATATAATCAATGTTATTCACTTCACCTGTCAGTGGTTTTAATGTTGTTGCTGATCAGTGTATCAGAAATACAGGATGGTAAATGGCTGGGGATTGTTTTGGCATCGTTATCTGGTTTAGGACATTGGGAAGACAAGATAAAATAAAGGTTTTCTTGTGCTATGTGTAACACAAACTATTCTCTTTATATTCTTTATATTCTCGAAATAGTTTTGAGATGACAGTTGGCCTTTAATTACAGTCATTAACCAAGATTTGTAGCATTCACAAAGCTGGCAATTTCCAATTCTAGCAACAGCCATTTAAAGGGACACCAGAGTACCAAAACTACTTTAGCTTAATTAAGATGTGTTAGTGTATAGGTCGTGTCCATCCAGTCTCACTGCTGAATTATCTGCCATTTAGGAGTTAAATAACTTTGTTTCTGTTTATGCAGCCATAGTCACACTACCACTGGCTGTGACTCACATTGCCTAGATGAACATCTGATCAGATATGACAGCAGAGAGTGTTTACTTCAGAAGCCTTTATCTCCTGCTTTGTTAATTGTACTTTAATCACACACAGGAGGCTCCAGCAGCCTCTAGCAGGTTTTTAGCAAAGTAGGAGTAAAGAATATCTACATCAAACAGATTGTGCAATAACATAATTTTAAACATTAGATTTCCGTTTTCAGAAAATGTGTAGGAAGATTGTGTAGGTTACATGTCTGTTCTGGCGTAATTCGCCTCTTTCATATTAGCCAAAGTTAACGTTAATATTTGTTTGTGTGTGAAAAATGCAAAAAACTAATTTGAACGCTAACTTTGGCCAGTGTTTGTGACTAAGTGGCTACTAAAAAGACTAACATACCCCATTTGCAATACCTTGGGTTGTCTACTTTTGCAAATGGTATGCCATTATGGGGGTAATTCTTATTCCTGGGCTACCATACGGTCTCAAAGGCAACATAACCAATCTGGTGAATTTCAATGTGAAAAAACTGAAGCGCAAGCCTTATATTTGACTCTGTAACTTTTGAAAACACCATAAAACCTGTACATGAGGGGTACTGTTATACTCAGGAAACTTTGCTGAACACAAATATTTGTGTTTCAAAACAGTAAAAAGTATTACAGAAATAATATCGTAAGTGTAAGTGCCGTTTATGTGTGAAAAATGCAAAAAATTCACTTTTATTGACGATATCATCGTTGTAATACATTTTACAGTTTTGAAACACAAATATTTGTGTTCAGCGAAAGGACCTAGTTATGTTAAATTATTATACGTGTGTGTATATATAAAAATACAAATTTTTTTGCACTCAGTACATATTCCACTGCTGGCCTGGTGCTAATCAGCAAAAACATAGAAAGGTAAAGTAGATAGCACTCCTCGGTCTTTCTTGTAAGTAAAAAATAGCTTTTATTGCTCCAAATTAAAAGATCAACATTTCAGTCTGCTGCTGCAAACTTTCCTGATGAAATATATATATATAATTATAAGTATATATATATTTAATCAATATCCTTCTGCGCGTATTTTGATATTTATATATATATATATATATATAATTATATATTTTAATATTAAAATACACTTAGTGTATGTGTAAATGTGTGTGTGTGTGTGTATATATTATGTGTGTGTGTGTGTGTGTGTGTATATATTACGCCGCCGGCAGTTAGAGCTAGCTCCAGCAGGGCGTAATAGTACGCCCTCCAGATTTAAGGGGTTAACAAAGTATATTGCAAACTTCAGGCTATCGTCCTGAAAAAAAACTGATTTGAAGAAATCTTTCAGTGTAGCAAACAATTTTGGCACAAAGATCATCTGAGCATTTAAATAAAAAAAAAAAACTAAAAAAACTATAGAAAACACATACCTTTTTTTCTGAAACATTTGAAAGACTTTTTTCTTTTCCAATAAATGACTAGCAGGACAAACGTAAGAAAAATAGCTCCGCATATGATCACAATTATAGTGAAAGTTTGTATAGTTGGATGACTTTCCTGTTCTGAAGAAATAGAAAGCAATATAAATAATCAGAATAGATTCATTTTACCCAAATAATATTATTTTCAGACGCACTCTCTAACTCTTCTCCCAGAATGTACTTGGAAGGTTGGATATGCATTTAAGGGAAATAAATATTTAAACATAAGTTTATCTTACATGAAAGATCACGTTTGGAGACGCTAAATACAGGTATTTGTGCAAATGTTTAGGATGCCTATTTGCAGGGCTACCACCAGAAATTTTGGGGCCCCTGACAAAGCACAAGGTCTGCCCCTCCTCCCCCCCGGCCCGCCCACAGGACTTCTACCTAGTCCGCTGACAATGATGGACTGAATGTGGTGTGTATAGTGGAAGTTAATTAGAATGTGTGTAATGGATGTAGTGTTTGTGTGTATTAGATACGGTTTGTGCAGTGAATGCAGAGTGTGGGTTTGTGTAGCGGATGCAGTATGTTTAGTGAACACAGAGTGTGTTTGAGTAGTGGATGTAGTGTGTGTACAGTGATGTAGTGTTTGTATTAGACGCAGTGTCTCTGTATAGTGAACGCAGAGTGTTTGAATGTGTGGTGGATGTGGTATGTGTACTGTGAATACAGGATGTTTGTGTAGTGGATGTTGTGTGTAAAGTTAATGTAAAGTGTATGTTATTGTAGTGAATGCTGAGTGTGTGTCAGTGTAGTGAATGCAGACTGTGTGGTAGTGTAGTGAATGCAGAGTGTGTGTCAGTGTGGTGAATGCAGTGTGTTAGTGTAGTGAATGCAGTGTGTGTATCAGTGTAGTGGATGCAGTGTGTTAGTGTAGTGAATGCAGAGTGTGTGTCAGTATAGTGAATGCAGTGTGTTAGTGTAGTGAATGCAGTGTGTGTTAGTGTAATGAATGCAGAGTGTGTGTTAGTGTAATGAATGGAGAGTGTGTTAGTGTGTAATGAATGCAGAGTGTGTGTTAGTGTAGTGAATGCAGAGTGAGTGTTAGTGTAATGAATGCAGTGTGTGTTAGTGCAGTGAATGCAGAGTGTGTGTTAGTGTAATGCATGCAGTGCATGTGTTAATGTGTAATGAATGCAGAGTGTGTTAGTGTACGTGGTGTAATTGTGTGCTTAGTCCAAGATTAGCTCACGGAATGGAGGTATCCTGTATGGTATGTAGTGGATCGTAGGGAGTGCCTAAAAGAAGACCTTAAATTGAGAGCGTGCAAAAGTGTCAGCGGTTGTGTAGTGGACACCAGGAATGAAAATGTAGACTATAAAGAACTGAGGGGTTGCTACCTGCCAAATCAGCCTGCGAATCAGCCACATTGGCGGTGAGTATGAACGCCCTTGCTAATGAAATCGCAGGCTGCGGAGTTGTCAGAGCAGCATTCAACTGTCCTGCTGGTCCAAAGATGACCCCATGTGAGGGAGGCCACCACGAAGGGGTAGATCTCCAACAAAGGAGAGGTCTCTCCAAAGGCCGGCAAGGCATCCGTCTTAGTGGGCCAGTATCCCTAACAAGTGGTTGCCAAAAAATGGCGGCGAACCCTGTGTGTGCTGCTGGGTCTGTGTGAATTGAAAGTGAGTGTTTTGAAAGTGGGGGAATGAACGAAGCGATCCCAATCCATGTGGCCGAAAAACTACTCCAATCGTGTAAAACTGCCCTGGCTGGATCGCCCGAATGGTTGAGCAGGGGTAGGCACCTCGTGGAGCAAATTTAAGTATCCCAGGGGAGAGACCAACCCTGAAACAGTTCTGTAAAGAGGAATGGTCAAGAATTACTCCTGACCGTTGTGTACGTCTGATCTGCAACTACAGGAAACATTTGGTTGAAGTTATTGCTGCCAAAGGAGGTTCAACCAGTTATTAAATTCAAGGGTTCACATACTTTTTCCACCTGCACTGTGAATGTTTATATGGTGTGTTCAATAAAAATATGGCAACATTTCATTCTTTGTGTGTTATTAGTTTAAGCAGACTGTGATTGTCTATTGTTGTGACTTAGATGATGATCAGATCACATTTTATGACCAATTTGTGCAGAAATCCATATCATTCCAAAGGGTTCACATACTTTTTCTTGCAACTGTATGTATATATATATATATAAAACGTGAGAATGATCCTTGCACTCAGGCTAACCTCTGTTATACAAATGCCGGGTGCTGGTCCTGGGGATCGATTATTCACAATAATAAACATATGGACGGCACTCATGGTATCTCATAGTGAAGTTTTCTTTATTCCATAAGAAAAAACAGCAGATTGACGTTTCAGTCCTCTCTGAGACCTTTTTCAAGATCAAATGGCATAATTCCAGTGTGCAAACGATAAAACATATATACATCCATATTAATTAGAAAAGTGACTTACCCCAGGTGTTGTGTGTTACTACCGGCATTCGTGTGCATTCACTACGTATATCCGTGAGGCCACTCCCCCTTCGTAATCACGCAGTCCCTCCAAGATGACGTCACGTAACGCCATTGTCACAGCGACGCGGCAGTCATTGCTATGGTAACCGCCTATAGCAGTGGTAGTCAACCTTTTTCTACCTACCGCCCACTAATGCATCTTTTTGGTTGAAAAAATTTCCTTACCGCCCACCAGTTTTCGCGCAAGTGCAGAATATTTTTTAGAATTCCCCTCCCCACCTTTTTTTCCCCTTTTTCTATTTTTTAACCTTACTTATAGCAATGCCCAGCAGGAAGGCTGAGCTAGGAAGCCCACTTACTATTACTTACTATAGCCCACTATAACAGACAGGCACACATACATACAGACACACACACAAGACACACACACACACATACAAAGACACATACATACAAACAGACAGGCACACACATACATACTCACACACAGACAGGCACACATACACACACACACACAAAAGACACATACATACATACAAACAGACAGGCACACATACAGACACACACATACAAAGACACATACATACAAACAGACAGGCACACACATACATACAGACACACGGACAAGGAAAACACATACACACACACACACACACACACACACAAAAGACACATACATACAAACAGACAGGCACACATACAGACACATACACAGACATGCACACATACACACACATAAGACATACATACAAAGACAAGACACACATACATACAAAGCACATACATAAGACACACATACATACAAAGACAAGACACACAACACATACATACAAAGACAAGACACACATACATACACACATGCATACAGACACACACACACAAGACATACATATAAAGACACACACACACATACAGACACAAGACACACACACATACAGACACAATACACACATACATACAAGACACACACAACACATACATATAAAGACAAGACACACATACGTAAACATACATACAGACACACACACAAGACATACATACAAAGACACATACATAAGACACACATACATACAGACAGACACACACAGACAGACAGACACACACAAGACATACATACAAACGCACATATACACAAACAAACACACCCGCCTGCCAAGTCTCTCAAAACGAGGAAATCCCTACCGCCCACCTGGAATCATGAAACGCCCACTAGTGGGCGGTAGGAACCAGGTTGACGACCCATGGCCTATAGGGAATGACACACCGTGAAAAAGTAGAAAGCCCGGTTTTACACAACTGATATGTGCAATTACATAGTGATATAACATGCAATAGAAGAAAAAAGTGATTAAAAGCTCTTGTAGCTCTTATCCGGAAGACAGCCACTAGAGGCTGGCTTAACCCTGCAATGTAAACATAGCAGTTTCTCTGAAACTGCTATGTTTGCATCTGCAGGGTTAAAACCTGAGGGCCATTGCACCCTGACCACTTCATTGAGCTGAAGTGGTCTGGGTGACTATAGTGTCCCTTTAAAGCTGCCCTGTCAACCTACGGTCTTTGTATAATTTGTCACTTGACCCATGGTGCAGGGGAATATAGGGGCTTAACAAGCATTTTTGTCCAGCTTCTCAAGCTTCTCTTTATCTTAGTATCTCTTGACTGGGTTAAAATGTTATCCTATATGTTAATTAAGCATTGTCAAATACTAAATTTGGGGGAAGGGTTGGGTGTGTGACAAAGCTACTTTAAAAGAATAATTTGTGCATTTATGTACATAAAAATTATAGTACGCATTATTGCAATGATTGTGGTGCATAGTTCCCTGCAGCCCATCAGCATTCCAGGGTGGTATATCACAGACATTTTCTTGCAACTCTTTGCAGCTAAAAGCGAGATCCTTTTCTATCTGGAATCAAGGAAGGAATTTTAGTTCCTTACTTGACATCAAAAATACGTCAACATTGTGCATACATGGTATGCATGCAGGACACAAAATTTGGATGGACCTTTCCCTCCTCCTTCCGTGCATGTTATAGCCACTGTCATGCACAGTTTACTTCATGGGTCGTCAACCTGGTCCCTACCGCCCACTAGTGGGCGTTTCAGGATTACAGGTGGGCGGTAGGGATTTTCTAATTTTGAGAGAATGGCGGGCGGGTGCGAGCCGGCAGTACCCCTGCGACCGGGTACCGCCATCAACACTTGCTGCCCCGGCCCATGCGGCAAACTGCCGGGGCTGCATATGGAGGGGTCCATCGGGTGGTCCATGCTGTCAGGACCATCCGATGGATGTGGATTGTGAGGGGGCCCGGTCAGCGCTGGGTGCTTTAACAGCGCGATCGGGCCCCCTGTGATTACATCACAGAGCTTGGAGGAAGTGACTGCACTCCTCCGAGCTAACACACAGACCGTGCGGGAGGAAGGAGGAGGGAGTCAGAGTGGGAACTCTGACTCCCATCCACCTGAGCCACCACTGGACCCCAGGGAAAGTCACCCTCCTGCACCTAAAAGGTAGGAAACAGGAGGGTGACTAAAATATTTTGTGTGTGTTTGTTTGTGTATGTGTCTTTGTATGTATGTCTTGTGTGTGTGTGTCTGTATGTATCTGTCTGTATGTGTGCCTTATGTATGTGTCTTTGTATGTATGTGTGTGTCTTTGTATGTGTCTTGTGTGTGTGTGTGTGTGTGTGTGTGTGTGTCTGTCTGTATATATGTGTGTATGTATGTGTGTCTTGTCTTTGTATGTATGTGTTGTGTGTGTATGTGTGTTTGTATGTATGTGTGTCTTGTGTCTGTCTGTATATGTGTATGTGTCTTTGTATGTATGTCTTATGTGTGTGTCTTTGTATGTGTGTGTCTGTATGCATGTCTGTGTGTGTGTTTGTATGTATGTGTGCCTGTCTGTTTGTATGTATGTATGTGTCTTGTGTGTGTGTGTGTCTGTATGTGTGCCTGTCTGTGTGTCTGTATGTATGTGTGTGCCTGTCTGTCTGTATGTGTGTGTCTGTATGTATGTATATATGTGTGCCTGTCTGTTATAGTGGGCTATAGTAAGTAATAGTAAGTGGGATACCTAGCTCAGCCTTCCTACTGGGCATTGATATAAAGAAGGTTAATTTTTTTGTTTTTAAAGTGAAAAGGTGGGGAGGGGAATTGAGGAGGGAGAGGAGGGGAGCTGATGCACAGATGAGAAATCATATTATGCGCAAACAGAGAAGTTTTCTGAATATCACCGAAAGAGGAGACCTTTGTTTGTTCCTTACGAAAATCGAACCAGATATCAAATATTTAGTCTTGCAGCATCAACCTCAAGGATCTCATTAATCACTAGTAAAGGTAATTTCAATTTACTTTATTGTTTCTCATTAAACTTTATAAAGTTAAAAACATTATAAACATGCATTAAGTAGAAATAAAAAGATAAATGTACGTACATTTATTTTTTTTTAAAACACCTTCCTTTCTAAAAAATATTCCGCACTTGCGCAATAACTGGTGGTCGGTAAGGAAATTTTTTCAACCAAAAAGATACATTAGTGGGCGGTAGGTAGAAAAAGGTTGACTACCACTAGTTTAGTTTGAATGCCCACATATATATTTGCTCAATGTATCAAGCTAAATATGGAAGTTAATGAATATAGAACACCTCACTTCAGCCATCTGAGATTCAGCTAAAATCCTCAACTATTTTCTTGAATATTACTAAATAAATCCTTAAGTTGCAGTGAACCTTGATTTAATTTTAATTAGAACCAATATGTCCTAATCTGACTGCTGAAAGGTGGTTGCAATAGTTGAATTGTTGTGCTCTCAATGCAACTTGAATTTTAATAAATTATTTTCTTCAAACTTAAAAATACATACAGTATATGGTGGAGTTTCTTCTTATTTGAATAGCTGACAATAATAAATATTTCTAGAGATAAAACAAATCCCTTTGACTTTTTTGTAGACATGAATCTTTTTATTAGAAAACTATGTTTAAAAAAAATTTTTTACAACAGAGAAAAATAACAACCAGAAATACAGAATGATGAATATATCCGTACATCACTTAAGGAAAAATCCCAATTCTTTCCAAGACACCTAATTTCAAGCGAAAGTAAGACGTTTGAAACTATGGTAATGAAAGAAGTAGAGAAATTTAGAAAAATAAATAAATACCAACATAACCTATCGATAGGAGAGAGAAAAGCCTTAAGGAATATAAAGAATGATGAAAATTTTGTAATTAAACCAATAGACAAGGGTGGAGGAGTAGTGATTCTTACTAAAGATCAATATGTTAGAAAAGCAGAAAAGATACTGTCAGACTCCTCCACCTACCAAAAATGAACACACAATCCTACGAATGATACCATAAAAATCTTTAAACAGTATGTGGACAAAGGAAAAGAATTGGGAATCCTTACTGATAAAGAAGCGGAATATTTGTTGGTAGATATCCCAAAAATACCGGTCTTCTACCTCTTACCAAAAGTCCATAAGAATTGTAGAAAACCCTCCAGGGAGACCAATTATATCTGGCATCGATTCCATTTCCACAAGAATCTCTGAATACATAGACACCATACTCCAACCAATAGTTATAAAAAATCCCACCTATCTTAAAGATAGAATCCACGTTTTACAAATCTTGGAAGAAATAAAATGGACGAAAGGAAACCTATTCGTCACATGTGACTTCCTTATATAGTATTATCCCCCATGATAAAGGAATGGCAGCAGTTATATGTTTTTTAGAGAAGTCTGATTTTAAAACAGAACAAATAAAGTATATTTTAAAAGCGATTTTATTAATTTTAACCCATAATTATTTTTGGTTTGAAAATACCTTTTATTTACAGATCTGTGGTATGGCAATGGGCACCAAGTTTGCCCCCAGTTATGCCAACCTTTTTATGGCATTTTCCGAAGAAGCTTTTGTATTCACAGGACATCAATGAGTGGCGAACTTGGTGTCCTACTGCCTGTTCATTGATGATATCTTTTTTGTATGGACCGGAACCACGGAGGTCCTACAGGAGTTTATTGCATATCTTAACATCAATGATTATGGAATAAACTTAACCAGTTACTATAGTGAATAGAGTATTCATTTTCTAGATTTAGATATTAGTATTCAGGAATCTACAATAGTAACCAAAAATTATTTTAAACCAGTACATGCCAATAGTTAAATTGGAAAAAACAGTTGTTATCATAAGCCTTGGCTTAACAACGCTCCCAAAAGTCAATTTTTAAGAATTCGACGCAACTGTAAATTAGATATAGATTATCTAGAACAGGCGAATTATATTAAAAAACAATTTATAGAAAAGGGTTATAACGAAGCACTTTTACATAGAGAGCAAAACATTTTAAAAGCATTTTAGTTAAAAGTCACCTAACTCCCAAAAAATTAAAGCACTTTATTCAAGATCTAAAAGGATTTAATGGGTGTGGCATGTGCCTCCCATGTAAAACCACAAAAAGTAAGAGGCATTTAGAAAATATAGAACATATAATTCATAAGCCATACACTATTAAAGATCACCTAACTTGCCATACAAAGGGCATTATATACATCTTGATGCCCCTGTAACTTGCTATATGTAGGAAGGACCATTCGACCTTTGAAAGTTAGGATCGCCGAACATATTCGCAATATTAAAAATGGCTTAGAAACCCACAGCGTGTCCTTACACTTTAAAGGGACTCATAACCAAAATCCAGAAAATCTGTTTTTTTGTGCAATAAAGGAAGTAAAAAGAAATTGGAGAGGGGGTAATTATATTAAAATATTGGGTAAAGAAGAAATGTGTTTTATTTATAATTTTAAAACCCTAATCCCCCATGGTTTAAACTCTGATTTTGAGGTCTGCCACTTTTAATAACTTTTTTATATACAAATAAAACTTTTTAGGAATATATTTTTTATACAAATTTTAATGAGAGGACTCTCTCCCTCCCTCCATCTTCTAAGATTACATACAGTAGTATGTTTACACATTTTTTTCTGTTGCCTTCCATTTTCACTAGGTACAATTGATTACCCATTTAAGACTATAATGGTTATAAACTGGATTATTAAAATGATTTAAGTGAATGTTGGTCATTTCACACTACATTATTTATTTTAATATACACTATTTGTTTATTCACCCTATTTAATTGTGATATCTAATTTGACCAGAAATTAAAATATTGTGCAACTTTGTATTTTTATCTCTTTCAGTTTTTTATTATTAGAATTTTATATTGTTTTTATACACTAGATATTTCCTAGTATTAAACGCCTCTTTTTAGTATTATTTATATTACATTCATCACAAACTGCTGTATGTCACATGAGAGACTGACATATCGTAAGAACGTAGTGGAACGCATGGATGTGTTCCACTACAGAGGAAAAAGGAAACGATACATGCGTTCCACTGATGGAAACGCAAAACCCGGAAGCGGAAATGCTATACGAACGCACGAAATGGTGGCAACAAACAAGCGCCAATTATGGATTATTTAAAAGGATACTCACAGCCAGCAACAAATCAGCAACTGAGGAAGCCTCTGAACGAGGCGAAACACGTTTTGCACCACTAAGGACTATTTAAAAGACTTACCTTCAAAACTGTAAGGTCTTGATTTTATTTATTTTGTTTATTACCTATTGTGTACTTTTAATAAAGCACTTTATTTTCATACTTACCTTTGAGAGGATACCTCATTATTTGAAACCTCCTGGCAGTATAAAGAAGGGAGTGGTAACCTTGATATCCCACAGAGCTGGAAAGTTGAGCCTTATCCATAGGCTCCTTATTTGTGAGTGAAATTTCATCCACTTTTTTCACTTTATAATTATATACAGACAATATTGCACTATTACGTGTCCCATTTTGTTTTATCTCTAGAAATATTTATTATTGTCAGCTATTCAAATAAGAAGAAACTCCACCTTATACTGTATGTATTTTTAAGTTTGTTGTGAGGGTAAATGGAAAACTCACTAAGGTGTTTGAGTATCTATTATTTTTTGTGTCTCTCACTGGGATACTGTTATTATTTACTATTTTCTTCAAACATTGAAATATAGATAGACGCATACAACAGGTAGATGGCCTGCAGCTTTGTTAAATGCAATATGCCTGTGATATGAAAATACCTGTATAGCTAGATAATAATAGGATGCTGCTAGTGATATCTTTGAAAAATAATAATGTAGCAATATCTTTTGATACTATACATATTTCGAGGAGTGAAGGAAATGCAAATTCTGTTTTCTACAAAGGAAATGTATGTCTAACCCTGGGAATTTATACAGAATTTATGAAGGAAGTAAAATGGAATACTAATAACTGACAGAGTATTTTATCATAGTTCCTGTTATTATATTCTTCCCTTACTGAAAGGCATAAGGAAGTTCATGATTGTAGGTTTCCCCTTTCCTATTATTGCTGGTTACAGCAGAGTACCAAACAAAATACCAGTTCAGAAAAAATCCTGTTTAAAGAAATGCTAAAGTGCTATAAATAAATACATATTCAAGTATGAAAGGGGGAAAAAAAGATGTAAAAACCTGCAAAGTAGAACTTGTAAGTATACCCCATAGCTGCTGCACACAAAGGAAGGATGTCACCTTCAAAGATGACAGAACCACTATGAACTACCTGCAAATTTTGGCTACTAGCAGATTCTAAAGGAACGCCTTTCCTGTGTGATGGTACACAGACCTTGATGTACAGACATGTTGTCAGAGGTTTATTTCCATTACTTCAATCTTAAAGCGGCACTGTCATGGCGGAATCCCGTTTGTTTTTTTTTTAACCCCCCTCCCACTTCCACTATCTCTAATTGACCCCCTAGTCACCCCCAAATGCCCCTAAGCCCCCCATATTACCTATTTTTTCAAATTTATTTTCTGCCCCGATCTATATTCAGGGCGCCGCCATCTTTGTGTGGGTAGATGAAGTCCCTGTGGGACACGTCATCTGCCCACACTACACAGACTGTGAGATTCCCGCACATGCCCAGTGAAACACCTGGACATGTGAACGGGAATTTCATCTATTCATTCATTCATCAGAAAGCCGAATGAATGAATAGAAATGTCAGACGAACAAACAAACACTGAGTATCAGTGTTCATCTGTTCGTTCAGTTTATTACAAGGAGGGAGCTACCGGCGCGCAGCTCCCTCCTTGTAATATGTAAAGATAGAAGTGGCAGGCAGCTGTGCTCCCCGCCACTTCATAAGCCCCCCAGGTCCTCCCTCCACCCCATCATCACCCGGTCCCCAACCCCTAGTCACCCATCCCCCCACCCAAATAAAAAGTCCCCTACCTACCCGCCTCACCCTAAAAAATAGTGAGGGGGGAATAAAATTACTAACCTGTAAAGTAAAATTAAACTTACCATTCGACGTCTTCTTTTTTCTAAAATCTTCATTTTTCAGCCCCAAAAAAGGCCAAATAAAAAATACCCGTCGAACTTAAAATAAAATAAAAAACCTGAGCGCAAAAAAAAAAACCTGACGAAAAAGGAAAAACCAGAGCGCAAAAAAATAAACCATCTTCACCCATGGAGGGCTCCGCGCAGACTGAGCTCCGCAGGGTGGGGGAAGGCTTGTAAAGCCTTGCCCCACCCTGCAATTAGGCTAAGAACACTCTGATTGGTGGGTTTAAGCCAATCAGAGTGCTCTTTGTCATTTTACACAGCGTGGGAAAATTCCAAAGAACTTTCCCACGCTGCGTAAAATGACACAGAGCACTGTGGTTGGATGGATTTCAAGCCATCCAATCACAGTGTTCTGTGTCATTTTACGCAGCATGGGAAAATTCCAAAGAACTTTCCCACGCTGTATAAAATGACACAGAGCACTGTGATTGGATAACTTGAAATCCATCCAATCAGTGCTCTGTGTCATTTTACACAGCGTGGAAAAATTCCAAAGAACTTTCCACGCTGTTTAAAATGACACAGAGCACTGTGATTGGATGGATTTCCCGAAAAGTCCCGAATTGAGTTCTAAAAGAAACGAACATACTGTTCTCATTCAGTTAGAACGCAATTCGGCAGTTTCGTCTAAAATGACAGGAAGCATTGCGGGAACACAGAGGAAAGCTAAGGATCATGGGAAAATTGCTCTGACCAGTGGAAATGAAGCACACTTTGCTCCTCCGCTGGTCAAAGCTGGTCAAGCGGAGGAAACCTTCATAAGACAAAGAGTCCCTACTTTGTCTTATGATTTTAAAGAAAACTAAAGAAGACAGGAAGAAAAGAAGAACAGATCCTGAGAGAGGGGGAGAAGAGGAAGAGATTGAGAAAAGGTAAGTTCGGCATGACAGTGCTGCTTAAAGGCTAGATTCAAAAAGTGAATCTGGTGAAAAGGTACCAACTTGTGAAATGAGACAATATTCTGTCAGGCACTGATTGCATCTGATTTTGCTACTCAAGCCTACCCAAGATCATATAGGAGTTGTAAATAATTCCACTCATTTAATGTGCTAAAGTTCTTTGTGATCATCCAATGTGCATAGAGCAGGCTTCCCCAAACTCCGGCCCTCCAGATGTTGCTGAACTACAACTCCCATGATTCTATGAATGAAATAGATGGGCAGAGAATCATGGGAGTTGTACTTCAGCTGGAGGGACGGCGTTTAAGGAAGCCTGGCACAGAGCATGTCAATGCAGTTTTTAGTGGAAACACAAATTACTAATATATAATATATAACTATTCCATCTTTGAACAGTTTGATGGGGCCCATTTCCCACATGGAAAGTATTCTGAGACTGTCACTGCCATTGAAGTCCTTTTCTATTACCATTGTTGTGAGAATGTTTAAGCTAGGGAATTAGCATATATTTTCATCTGTGTTTGTATGTCTCACTGTATGTTACATGATGTGCTGCTAAAGGCTTGTCCCTGTGGTGAATAACCTATTTTAACCAAAAAATTGTTACTATATACAAACACGTAAGATGACTATAAACCACCCTAAAAATGTGTACCTCACAAACACTTCAAACGAGACTAATACAAGAGATATACACCCTGTGCGGGGGAAGTATAGGATAGGGGGTTATCTGATACACAAAGGTAGACAGAACAAATACAACCAGGGAATCAGAATAGTGTGATGGTGTAAATCAAATAGAGCAGGAGTGTTGTATGTTATTTGGAGCACATGAAGAAAGAGTCTGTGGACCTGTGTGATGAAATCACAATCACAGGCTCAATCATTAGGGCCTGTGAGCCCAAAAGCATCTTTGTAAAGATGGTGTCGGGAACTCTTATCTGGAAGAAGGAGTGGTCAGAAGAAGTGCTATCTGTCTGTTTATTGGGTAGAGGACAAGACGTTACCATGAAGAAACGTGGTGGTAGTCTCTGGAACCAGTGGAGAAGGGACGGATGGTGTAGTGGGACAGGTCCGGTGACCAGTATACCCTGTTCCAGTTACAGATGGCTGATGGGTAAGGACACATGCTATTTTGAGCATCTTCCATTCCTGGCACTGGAAGACAAATCTATGCTTCAAAAAAGCATGCTGTGAAGGGTTATTAAAAAAAAAAAAAAAAAAACACACACATATCAAATTCCTTGTAGAGATTCTCAACATATATGTGGGATAAATAACAAATGTAGAAGAAAGTTCTCTGGTCTGAGGACTCACAATGAGCAGTTAATTTCCCCATCCAGGCAAACACTCTATAAACACCTTGTTAGGTGTGAACTGTTTACGATTGAGGGCAATTTAATTGTTAAAGGCAAACACAGCGCAATTCTAGAAGAAAACTTGTTTTAGTCTGCAAAAGACAGACTTGACTAAACTTACAGCAGGATAGCAACCTTAAATGCTCAACCAGAGCTACATTGGAGTGGTTTGAAATAAATAACCTGAATGTCTTAGAATGGCCCATGCAAAGCACAGATCTCAATCTGCAAATCTGTGGAAAGACTTGAAAATTGCTCTTAACCAAAAGGTTCCTATAAAACCCGATAGAGCAATTTTGCCAGAAAAACAGTTGAGACATATTCCAAAAGACTCACAATAGGCCGCCTCATGGTTTGACAGGTTTGGTTACTCAATTGCTCAGAGCACCTGCCTTGCAAATACTTCTCATCGAGCTGCTCTCATTGATTGAACAGCCATAGAAGTCTGGGGTGGGGAAGAGGGCTTGCAGAGGCAACAAACCCGATCTATAGCTTCTGCAATCTGTTTTTAGATAAACCCCTAAAGAATAAATGCATAATTACATGGTCCTCCCCATCCCTCACTACTAGTGTTGATATATGTAATAAAGAAAGAGAAAATATAATGTAACATATTATGTACTGATTAAATCCACACTGGTGCAGTGAGTAAAAATAAACTGACGTGTTTGTACATGTATCAGCCCCATATTGTATTGTAGTATCTGTTTTATTCTTTTATTGAGCGCTGCACTCGCACTTAATAGTATGGGTTGGGGTGTATCACCTAAACATAGAGTATTAAGATATATATTTTGTGATCATAGTGAGTTGTTTGGAGTGCCCACAAGCTGACTGTCTGTCTGTCTGCCAACCACAAAATGTAGCAGCAATGCTCCCGGTATATTCCTAAAGCTGATATGGCGAGCCATCCCTGCCTCTTATTTCTCTAATGTGCCCACATTTGGCTGCCTAGGAACATTTCCATGCTGTCCCTGGCTACAGACACCAGGGGACAAAACGATGCCAAAATAGGGTCTGTCCCACTGAAAGTGGACTAGTTGGGAGGTGTGCCCTATAAATAAGAGTCACTGACCCTTTTAGCACAAAAATACAGAGAATAACCATAATGGAACCAGTGGGGACATATTAGTAGACAGGGCTAACATTACTTACTCTAAGCCTCCTCACTCACTCACAGTCTCTGTGTATAAGAATTACATTTGGTGTATTGTTTGATCACAACATGATAAAATGGTTATTTGCTTATTAACATATTAGCTTTCAACTACTGTGTGCCAATAACAAACAGGAAGTGCAATGTTCAAAGAAACAGTTAGCCCCTGTGTTTCACAGAAAAAGTGAGTCATCAAGCCAATTGTTATGAAAATATTTTGATGTGAACAAAACATATTTAAAGGAACACTCCAATGCCCAAATGGGAAAAAAACACTGTTTAGTAGATATATCCCCATGAATACAAGCATTCATTTTTCATGCATGTATTTATTGGGCATATATCTTAAAATAGCTGAAAAGGCTGGAGTTTTTATTAATTGCAGACTTAGCAAGCCATCCCCCTTTTTTTCCCAGGAGTGACTTTCAGTCTCATTGAGAAGGCTCTGAATTGGTGCCCACGTGCACGTGCCGGCTCATCCGCACTCACGTCTCGTCTGAGGTCTATGTGGGAGGAGGCAGAAACGCTCAAGGAGAGCATGCCTGCCTATTATGTCAGCTATGCACTTTTATAAACTGGAGATAAAGGGACACTATAGTCACTAGAACAACTACAGCTTATAGTAGTTGTTTTGGTGGCTATAGTCAGTCCCTGCAGGCTTCAGAGAAAAGGCAATGTTTACATTACAGCCTAGGAATACCTTTTGTGGACACTCCTCAGAACTGATTATCAGCTTCTCCACCCTCTGTATGGAGACACTGAACTTTCCCCTTAGAGATGTATTGATTCAATTTATCTCTATGAGGAAATGCTGAGTGCCCAGGTTAATGTTTGGCTCCACCCCCTCCTCCTCCTTGGCTGAGATCATCAGAATTGATTATCTCATCCAATCCAATGCTTTCTTGTGGGAGACGGATTGTGGCAGAGCTGTGTTTATGTGAAGTACTTATGATGTGTGGAGTGGTCCTTTAACTTGTAGCCTGTGGTTAATCTGAAAGAAGTTATTGCAATACAGCATTAGGTAGAAACATATTAAAAATGCCTCAGAAATAGCACATTATATGAAGCTAGTACATTTGTGAGTCATTAAACATATTTTTCATTGATTTATGCATATACACAGTTGTTTATACACAAATCCATGCACATAATCACATTCCTACACATTCACTCATAGAAACACATATATACATATATGCACACTTACCCTTATACATACATGCCTAAATACACTTTCAAATGACAAATACATACATGTTCATATAAGCACAAACAGCTTCACATGTGTATACATTCATCCATATAACACAGCAATCACACTCCTAGATGCATGCACACATACACACAATTGCCATCATACACTGATCAGCCCAAATGCATAAAGAGTTTTATAAGGAAAGCAGATAGGACATAACATAGAAACATAGAATGTGATAGCAGATAAGAACCATTCATGGCAATGGTGTTCCCTAATGGCAAGTGGCCTCTGCCAGCATGATAATGTACCCTGCCACACTGCAAACACTATTCAGAAATTGAGCATGTATGGAATGTGCTGGAACAACAAATCCAATTAATGGAGGCCCAACCACACTTCTAGGAAGAGTTAAAGGATCTGCTGCTAATGCCAGATAGAAGTGGACATGTTAGGAGGTCTTGTTGATGCCTTGACGCATCAGAACTGTTTTAGCAGTACAAGGGGAACCTACATGATATTATGTAGACGGTTTTAAAGTTGTGACTGATCAGTATATATGTATATCTATACATGCCACATGCATTCATACTTCATACTAGGAGGGGCTCAAAACGTTGATCTAAAGGGCAAGTTTAAGTGGATGGGCTTTTTTCGTGCATAAAACTCACAGGTGTCTGCATGCATGGTCATGTTGTAGAATTATTAGGCCTCTATAAATTTGTAAGGCCCCTTTAAATCCTCTTGCTATACCTCTAAGAGGCCCCCATAGTTTTACAAGGAAGCTTTGTCTATAGAACATAGAATTTGCATGTCAGCAAGAAATAGCTTTGATAAAATGTGTATTTACTAAAATCCTTGAAACTTAACCTTGAGAAACTAACAAGTGCCAGCTACGCTCCAAATGGATAGCTGCCAAAAGGCCCCTCCCGTCGAGTGAGCTCCTCATTTTAACAAAATGGCGCTAAGACCTGTAGGAGTTAAGAAATTACGTAGATAGTGACCTAAGAATGGGGAGGGCATTTTACTAACATCTTAGCACCTAAGCCAATTAACAATGTCTATTTGTCTATATCTTGATTTTCTTCAATGATGTAATAATGCCTTTATAAGGGTCTGCGCACCCATTTTCTGTCAGAAGCCATTAAACTTCTCTGAAGTTCTTTCATTACCCTGAACCTTGTGTCTCAGTGTGAATTTACTTCTGCGTGCACGCAACTTTATTATCTTTAATTTGGACAGGAACAGATAGTCATTCAAACTAATTGGTTTGCAGTAAATTATCTAGAACAATTGGCGCTCTCAACGTGGGGCTCTGGGCTATGTCCAGTCTGGGCAGCTGTCCAAGAAGACGCTGGGGGGGCTGAATCCTGGGGGAAGGAAAAGAGCCTGATCACCTCTGAATACACGGTAGAGATTGCTGCAGCACCTAGCCGGTATGTTCCTACCCCTGTGATTGGCCTGCCCCAGTGTCTGTGACTGCTGCCGAGAGGACATCAAAGTCAGGTAATAACTTGCCCAGAGTCTTTGTATTGTTAATGATACCTAGTTTACCTGCATGTTGACTATCTGTTGCCTGGGTGTGTTTGTATTGGTATGTGTTTAACTTAGTACCCGGGGAGTGTAAGTGCCTGTTTAACCCCTTTTAGGTACCACATGCCTGTGGTAGTAAGGAAAAAAGGGGGTGGACCTGTGGAAGTTTTCCTGGGGGTCCTCTATTGCCTGTTTAACTCTTTTAGGAGCCACGTGGCTGTGGCTGTAAGGAAAAAGAGTAGGGGGAATCTGTGGAGGATGATGTAGACTCATTGCTTCCTGGGGGTTCCCCAGAGTGTCATTTTGACCGCTTAGCTAGCCTCATCAGACACTTCTTCTTGGTAAAATTCCAGTCTCAAGCGCTGAGACAGGTAAGATTCCAATTCTTTAGGCTATACAGGATTCGGGTTGGAAGCTGTTGCTGTTTCCTGTGGCTGCTGGTAGTGAGACTTGCGGGTGGGTCCGCAACAGGGACACTACGAGGTTGAGGGAGGTGGCTTTTGGCCACACGAGTAAAGGCAAGGGATAACACTGTTGAACTTATTTGAACTGTGATGCATGCACTGTATTTACACTGAAATGTTATTGACTTAATTGTCTGTCACACAGATTCCTGTGTTTACTTTTATCTTACTCACTGTACTATTTACACTTTCCCCTCCTAGTTCTCTTTCTCTGTTGAGAGAAGTGATTGGTCACACACTTCTCGCCACGCTCCAATCCGCGGCTACCACGGGTAGGCGGAATCAGTGACTAGTCTACGTTTTGGGAAGACGTACTTAAAGAGCTTGCTCTTAAAGTAGCAGTCGAGCACGGTAGACGTTCTGTTCCTTTCTCTCTCTATATCTGGGACGCCTTGTATAGGGAGGATGGGACAGAAGTTAGATAAACCCAGTAAGGGTTGGTTAGCATGTGATCTAGTGGAAGACAGAGAAGGAGAAGAGATGGTTAAGAAAGTGAGTAAGATTGCTAAAGTATGTGGAATTACCGTACCTCTGTGCGGCAGATTGTAGCCAGAGAGCTGGCGTAAGTTACTGACAGAAGAAAGGGAAGCTGTCGGACCAAGATTTGGTTTGTACAGCAGAAGCCTGGTACCGAGTAGCAAGAGCTATTCAGCAAAAGGGATAGGTTGAGGAAGAAATTGATCACAAAGGTTTAAGATTGTTTGTGTATTATAATAATTGTGTTACTGGATGCTGATGGATCCCTATTCCCCCCCCCCCATCAGTCCTACAGATCTCGTCACCCTCATCCTCTCTCTGCAGCTCCCTGCACCTCCAGTCCGTTTCTCCCGTCAAAGATTTCTGGTTTCCAAACGTATAAGTCTCTGTCCTTCTGTCTTGTTACTTTACAGCACTCACATGGTTAATCTTCATGCCTGCAGTCTCTCCCTTTTTTTGCACTGTCTAACTTTCTCCCCCCCTTTCCTCCCCGCTTGCCTGCATTTCTACTGATAAGAGTTAGAGACAGGATTTTTGCTGGAAAATATTCTAATTCAAAGGTTATATGGTGTTATAATTGTGTAATAATATTATTATTGTTGCCGTTTGCCGTTTATGCATATATATATGTATATATGGATTGTGTTTTGTGATAGGGTAGTGAGGATTGTGGGGGAGACACAAGAATGTAGCTCAGTGTTGATTTACGGAGGTAAGTGAATCTGATACAAGAATAGAGGAATATTTGGACGTGTTAAGTGTAAAGGCAAGCGTGATTTGTTGCAAAACTATGCAATGTGGATAGAGGGAATATGCAGAGTTAAGCTAGTATGTGAAGAGGAAAGTGATTAATGGTTTGAGGAAGATAAGGTTGAATTCCGCGAGTTTATCTTGCATTATTTTAAAGTACATGTTTCTAGAAACAGCTGTATGGGCTGTTAAATGCATAATGTTCTCAACTGTCTTATTTAACCTGCCAGGTCTGTTCATAGTTTAGTATTCCATTTTGCAGAACAGAATGTTGCTTCTCTGACTTATTTTAATAGTTTTAATATAGTGTATGGTTGAAAGTACATCAACCACCACCCTAAAGATGGCGCCTGCCAGTCCCGTGACCTATCCACAGTCACGGTTGCTTCTAAAGTAACGTCACTTCCGCCCTTACCATGCCCACACCTCCTGTCTTCCTTTCCCACACATATCATGGACGTCACCCCTCTCACTTCCTCCCTTGCTGTCATTTCCTTCCCCGCCCCTGTCATGGCTGCCTCCATCATGAGGCCTACCCCTATTATGCTCGTCCCATTTAGATAATTACTAAAACAATCATGCCATTTGTTTCCCTGTATCAACAATTTGTCCGTGATATAAAAAAAAAAAGAAGGTTGCTAAAATGTAATTTGCAAATGTGGTGTGACCTACATATGAAATCTGTTGGACACGAATATAAGAGCATAACAGCTGATTATCCAGATTAATCTTGCAACAAGGGAAATAGCCAAATAATGCAAGTTATTTTAAACATTGTATCTTTGCTTAATCGAATCTTGCTAGTTACAGATCGTATGTTTACAGTAACATCCTTTACTTTAAATGATGGTTTAGCATTAGAAGGGTTTGTGACATGTTTTATTAACCCAGCCACTACTGGTTATTCATTTTAGTTACAGGGTGGTATAATTGTTATAGTCTAATTGATATAAATGATAGTACCGCAATAGTTAATGTTTTATCCAAAGACATATAGGAACTTTACTTAACTTACTATTAACCATTATTTATAATGATAGACATGTTCAGACTGCAAAAAGCTATGGCTAATGACATAGAAAGGGGTTTGAGTCAGTAACACAGCCCATACTGAGGAGAGCAAACCCGCTGATGCTTAATGCCCCTGCCATGGCAGTGTCTTCAGGGGAACAGGGGGGGCCTCTAGCTACTGTAATTTTACCCATTGAGGGCCAGCCCACCACTTTCCTAGTTGACACAGGTGCAGCCCGAAGTGTTCTGAGAGAACAAGACCTGCCCGATACCTCATTTCTTTCCAATATTGATGTCTCCTGTGTTGGGGTGGACGGCCTTCCAAGGCAAAGTCCCCTGTCCACCCCACTGCGGGTTGGTAACTGCCACAACTTGCTTGCTCGCTTTGTGGTATCTTCCACATGCCCCATTAACCTGTTAGGAGCTGATGTTCTTCCACGCCTGCAGGCATCCATCACCTTTACTCCAGATGGACAAGTGGAACTATCCACCCCTCTATCTGTCTCAGACACCTCAGCTTTGTGCTCCTTACCCCTGATGCTACATCTAGAAGAGCCTCATGGGGATGCAAAAGACCTAAGGACTAATTTCCCTGATTCACTAAAGACTGATGTTCCCAAGAAGCTGTGGTCCACAGGCCCAGAGGACATAGGCCATCTAAAGGTCCCGCCTGTGGTGGTAAAGCTCATCCCAGGCGTAAAATTGCAACGAAAATCACAGTATCCTTTGAAACCAGCTCAAGCTGCAGCCATTACAATTCAAATTCAAGCACTCCTGGAGAAGGGTGCTCTTGTCAAATGTGAATCACCATGCAATACTCCATTATTTCCAGTAAAGAAAAAGACTCCAAAAGGTGAACCAGAAAAGTACAGATTGGTCCAAGACCTCAGAGCGGTAAATGAAGCCACAGTTTTGGACACTCCAATAGTGCCCAACCCACACACTCTCCTTTCCGGCGTTCCACCCTCTGCCAAGTACTTCACTGCCATTGATCTAGCCAATGCCTTCTTCAGTGTTCCCCTGGATCCAACTTGCCAATATCTGTTTGCTTTCACACATGACAAACAACAGTACACATGGACTGTCATGCCCCAAGGGGCACAAAATTCACCAAGTCAATTTGCGAAGGCCATGTGCTCTATCCTTGATCCATGGCAATCTGACCATCCCGAGGTCGTCCTGCTTCAATATGTGGATGATTTGCTGCTTTGTGGAGATGATATACCCACAACAGAACAATGCTCACTTAATCTTCTTTGCTACCTAGCAGAACAAGGATGTAAAGCTTCACGTCTCAAGCTGCAATTCTGCCAACCTACTGTTATTTTCCTTGGCCATTGTCTGTCTCAGGGAACCAGACATCTTACCCGTGACCGAGTTAGAGCGGTACTGGACATTCCACCTCCAAGGACCTCGAAGTCACTACACGCCTTCCTAGGCCTCATTTCCTATTGCCGAGCATGGATCCCAGAAGCCTCGCTCCTTATGCAACCTCTTTATGATGCTCTCAAGTCAGACCCATTTTGCTTGTCCACAGAAGCCCTTGACAACTTCTGTTCTCTCAAAAGTACTATTGCTTCTGCTCCTGCTCTTGGCCTACCAGACTATACCAAACCCTTCAAACTGTTTGTTTCTGAAAGACAAGGCCATGCAACAGGAGTGCTCACTCAGGCCCATGGTCCTGGAGGCCGCCAAAGGCCTATTGGATTTTTCTCCTGCCAACTGGATATTGTGGCCAGAGGACGTCCCTCTTGCCTTCGGGCCGTCTTTGCTGCCAGAGAGCTCATTGAAAGAACTGGAGATCTTGTCCTTGGCCACCTCCTGGTTGTCTTGGCCCCTCATGACATTTCTGCCATAGTCAACCAGGTCCAGCTTAAGCATGTTACTCCTGCCAGGCATCTTCGCCTTCAATGTCATCTTTTGTTGCCTGACAACATTACCCTCCAAAGATGTCAAGTTCTCAATCCGTCCACTCTTCTGCCACTCCCTGAGGGGGGTGTATACTACGGATTCATCATGGACGAAATTTATGTTTCTCTTCTCACTGGCAACATCAAGAAGGAAATGCATCCCAACCTATCCTTTTATGATGGACAAGCACTCCTTCATGACGGAGCAGGACATGCCTTCTGTACCATGTGGTACAAACCAAACATCACTCCTGAACCCTGCTATGAAGATGAACTCTATAAGCTGGTTGAAGTAAAACTCACTGCACAAGACTTCTACTGTGATTCTGAAGGCAACAGTATGGTCTTGATTCATCTACCTCCGGAACTCAATCATTTGTACCGTCATTGGGACACTGCCATTCCACATGTCCCTGTGACCAAGTTGAAAACAATATCATGGAATGATCTTGGGCCTATGGCAAAAGCATGGGCCACTATGGACGAATCACAGCTACAGGAAAATGGTGTTGTCAAATATCCAACAACTGACCACCTAAAAGCATGGCAGCGTCATTTCCTGGAGAATGAGTTCCAAGATTTAACCATAGTGAATGACTACGACCCAGATACACCTCATGACTGTTTTGAACAGATGAAAATGGAAACGAGACATCTACCAACTGTGCATGAAGACCCATTGGTAGATCCCGATCTCACCCTGTTTGTGGACGGCTCAAGATATGCTGATGAAGAAGGAAGATACCATACAGGATATGCCGTAACCACAACAGATGAAATTGTCAAATCATCATCTTTACCATCAGCTATGTCTGCACAAGAAGCTGAATTGCAAGCCCTGACTTCAGCATGCAAGATCTCTGAAGGAAAGCGCGCCAATATCTACACGGATTCAAGATATGCACTGGGCGTGGCTCACGACTTCGGATTAATTTGGAAAACAAGAGGATTTCTTACCACCACCGGTACACCAATCAAGCACGGTTACGCAATCAAGGAGCTGATGGACGCCCTCCTACTCCCAGAAGAAGTGGCTATTTTGAAGATAAAAGCACATGGGAAGTTGGACTCAGATGAAGCAAAGGGCAACCATCTAGCTGATCAGGCTGCAAAACAAGCTGCAAAAGAACCACAGGAAGTGGAAAGAAGAGTGTCCAGAAATGAAGAAACTCCCATATTTACTCTGCAGACTCTTCCAACTGACCTGAAAATCCTGCTGGAACAACAGGCTACAGTTGCCCCTGAAGAAATACAGAAGTGGAAACAGAAAGGGGCAGTTCTGAAGGATGGAGTGTACTCCAACAACCTCAATTTCTGCCTCCCTAAGAATTTGTACCCAGCAGTCGTACAATGGGCACACAGACCTGCACATTTATCAAAAGATCTAATGAATGCTCTTGTACAAAAATACTACCTCATTGTCCCCATACGAGATTCTATTTGGGACTGCACCTAGGCTAGGTTGCTATTTTCCCCAACAACTACAACTTCAAACTGATGTTTTTGTAGATTATGTAACTGAACTCGCAAATGCTTTGAACAAAATCCATGCCCAAGTTTTCTCTTCAATTCCAGATCCTGATTCTGACACAGGCAACCACAGTCTGCTCCCCGGTGACTGGGTTCTGGTCAAGAAATTTGTGCAAAAACACACCCTGGAACCAAGATTTGACGGACCGTTCCAAGTTCTCCTGATCTCCCCTACCTCTGTCAAATTGGCCGGAAGGCCTAACTGGATCCACGCTTCCCATTGCAAGAAGACACCTGCCCCAGAGGAAGCTAATTCTATGCAACCATGTGCCTCTGGTACATTATCTCCTTAGTTGGCCTCCTTAAAGCCCAGCAGGTGGCCATCACCAAAGATGCTAGTGGGTACACTTTCTGGTATAATTCATCATGTACCCATGTGACTACATTCACTTTTGATTACTGTGATATTGTAGAATGCCCATTCCCTAAGTCACAGATTCAAGCCATTTATAAAGATATACCACAAGCAAAAGACCCTTACGTTTGTGTAGTAGATGAACAATGGGGTTATGACTGTAACTACTGGGGGGGCTGCGGGATGGAATACTGGGCCTGCCTGGGGTTATAAACCCAAAAGTTCTTTATCTAAGATAGACAATCAGGGTAGATCCCTCCTTCAAAGAATGACTTTAAGAAAGCCTGGAGGAAGTACCCCTATGAAATTAATGTTAAATATTGAACATCCTGGCCCTGAGGATGCAGACCGATATGTAATGGGAATGTATTGGAAGAAAGGTTCCTACAACAAATTAGGTCATTTCTACCTCAGAGATATGTACCACTCTCCAGAGTGGCAAGGGGCTAATCATATGGTCCCAAATCCGCTAAAACCACATATCCAGTCCTTTAAAGATATGATGGCCATCGCTAACCCCACTTTTGAAGATACCATGGCCGCTGAAACTGGATTCAATGACATTAATTTGTGGTTAGAATGGATGAGGTATAATGCTAACAAACATAATAAAACAGCATGTTATGTATGTGGCGGTGCCCGACCCCACCTTGGCACCGTCCCCCTAACTCTCCCTTTAGAGATAGAAGATTGCTTCTTAAGCCTTTTGCCTACCAATATGACTTTAATAGGTCCCTCTGCATGGCATGGACGGCAGAATACCCTCTCTTAGTTGAAAATGTTAAGCCACCAGATGGAATCACAGTCTATAGAGGTAATTACACTTGTTATGCCATGTATGACGGGATTGGTAAATTCATGGATAACTTTTCTAAAGGTTATTGCGCCACTTACAGAACTGTTCCTATACGCCTGTTGCAACACCATACCAGGTCATTGGGGGATGTTTACTGGTTATGTGGGGATCTACAGTTAAGATCTAGGCTGGAAACTGAGTGGTGGGGTGAGTGTACCCTAGCCAAAGTTATCATGCCCATTCATATTATTTCTGATAATCATCATGACACATACGACCCTCCACATACATCAGCCAGAGTAAGGCGCGAAACCCCAGTAAAAGGCAGTTTTGACCCCCACATTTACATAGATGCCATTGGGGTGCCTAGGGGGTACCTAATGAATTTAAAGCTAGAGATGAAGTAGCTGTAGGTTTTGAATCACTTTTTACCATAGTCACTGCCAACAAAAACCTTAATTGGATTAATTATATCTATTACAACCAACAGCGCTTCGTGAACTACACCAGGGATGCCCTCCAGGGCTTGGCCGAGCAATTACAGGCCACATCCCAAATGACCTTCGAGAACAGACTGGCCTTAGACATGATCTTAGCCGAAAAAGGGGGGTCTGTAAAATACTTCCCGACACTATGACTTGTTGCACTTACATTCCAGAAAACACAGGTCCTAATGGTAAAGTCACTCTAGCCATAGCTAAATTAAATAGACTCTCAGAAGAGTTAAAGAGAAACTCTGGAGTTACTGATCCCTGGGAAAAATGGTTTGGTTGGATGACTGGTTGGCAGAGAGCTTTAGTCCAGATTGGTATTGCCTTACTAATTTTTCTTTTTATTCTCGCTCTTCTCATTTGTTGTGTCCTCCCATGCCTAAGGAAATTCCTGCCGAAAACTGTAAACCAAGCAACACCAACCTTCACTCATCTGACAATCGATGATCAAGATCTCATCTCACCCTGTATTCCGCTACAAACTCTCCCGTATACTGATGAAGTGCAGAAAGTCTAGGAAGGGACAGTACAGGGACAGCATCCGTCTTTATGGGTAGACTGCCGTACGGAGAAGTAGTGGATAAGCCACTATGGGTTACCAGCGGAGTGAAGAGTGTTCCTGAACCGTACTGACGGGTGTGCTGCAACCTGTTAGGGTCAAGAGAGGGATAGACTTGCACTTTGCATTAACACTAAGTCAGCGGTCATGGGGTTTCTGTGTCTTTGGGCTAATACTTCTTCTGATACTAACAAATAAAGTTTTGTCTTTTAGCAAATAACATTTTAGGGGGGACTGTTGTAGAATTATTAGGCCTCTATAAATCTGTAAGGCCCCTTTAAAATCCTCTTGCTATACCTCTAGGAGGCCCCCCATAGTTTTACAAGGAAGCTTTGTCTATAGAACATAGAATTTGCATGTCAGCAAGAAATAGCTTTGATAAAATGTGTATTTACTAAAATCCTTGAAACTTAACCTTGAGAAACTAACAAGTGCCAGCTACGCTCCAAATGGATAGCTGCCAAAAGGCCCCTCCCGTCGAGTGAGCTCCTCATTTTAACAAGATGGCGCTAAAACCTGTAGGAGTTAAGAAATTACGTAGATAGTGACCTAAGAATGGGGAGGGCATTTTACTAACATCTTAGCACCTAAGCCAATTAACAATGTCTATTTGTCTATATCTTGATTTTCTTCAATGATGTAATAATGCCTTTATAAGGGTCTGCGCACCCATTTTTCTGTCAGAAGCCATTAAACTTCTCTGAAGTTCTTTCATTACCCTGAACCTTGTGTCTCAGTGTGAATTTACTTCTGCGTGCACGCAACTTTATTATCTTTAATTTGGACAGGAACAGATAGTCATTCAAACTAATTGGTTTGCAGTAAATTATCTAGAACAGTCATACTCATATGTAGAATGCCATAAATGGATATGACAGATCGAGGCTGCATAAGTTGCATATGTGTGACTTTATACATCCCTGTAATCTCTGTATGAGGGACCTTTCACAGAAATCTGTGTAGGAGATTGGCACAGTTTCCCATCAATTGACACCCTTTTATCTGATCACACAGTCATGTGCAAATACCTGCACATAAAGGACCACTCTAGGCACCCAGACCACTTCAGCTTAATGAAGTGGTCTGGGTGCCAGGTCCTTCTAGGGTTAACCCATTTTTTCATAATTATAGCAGTTTCAGAGAAACTGCTATAATTATGAATGGGTTAAGCCTTCCCCCTAATCCTCTAGTGGCTGTCTCATTGGCAGCCACTAGAGGCGCTTGCGTGCTTCTCACTGTATGATTTTTCACAGTGAGGAGCATCTTGTAGCCCTTAGCTCTTGCAGCGTCGCATTCAACTTGTGACGGAGGCGGAGGAGGAGAGAGCTCTCATGGCTGGAAAAAGGTAAGTTTAAACCCCTTTCCCCTTTCCAGAGCCGGGCGGGAGGGGGACCCTGAGGGCGGGGGCACCCTCAGGGCACTATAGTGCCAGGAAAACGAGTATGTTTTCCTGGCACTATAGTGGTCCTATAAGAAGTGTTCATCAGAGTCTGGCAGCCTGGCTGGCCCCAACTGGTAACTGTTGACAGAGCATTCAGTGCAGATGCAAAACATGTTCTGTTCCCTCAGACTTCCCTCAGACCCCCACTTTCTGTGCATAGTTTGTTAGTTTTTACTGTCTATCTGCTGATGTTGCTGCATGTTTTCATTTAGATGGATAACAAGTAAAGACAAGATCTATTTACAGGGACACTATAGTCACCCAGACCACTTCAGCTCAATTAAGTGGTCTGGGTGCCAGGTCCCTCAGGTTTTAACCCTTCAGATGCAAACATACCAGTTTCAGAGAAACTGCTATGTTTACATTTGGGGTTAAGCCAACCTCTAGTGGCTGTCTTCCAGACAGCCACTAGAGGCGCATCTGCGATGCTGGAGGCATATTATGCCTCCATCGCGCAGAGCGTCCATATAAAAGCATTGAGAAATGCTTTCCTATGGACACTTTGAATGGGCATGCGGCACTTGCCGCGCATGCGCATTCGGCTCCAGTGACTACAGCAGAGGGAGCTGACGTCGGCAGGGATGGAGAGGTCACCAGCGCCGAGGGAGCACCGCGCTGGAATAAGGTAAGCTGCTGAAGAGTTTTAAACCCCTTCAGCGCCACAGGAGGGGGACCCTGAGGGTGGGGGCTCCCTCAGGGCACTATAGTGCAAGGAAAGCCGCTTTGTTTTCCTGACACTATAGTGATCCTTTTAACACTTTTAACCCAGCATTTTTATATAGGTTAAACACATTTCTAGTGACTGTCTTCCTTACAGCCTCTAGAAGCGATACCACTGCACTGACCAAGTAAAACTTGGTCACAGAATGCAAAGGCTCATAGCAAAGCATTGCATACAATGCTTCCTGTGGGGTAGCATCGATGTGCAGGTGGCTCTCAACGTATATGTGTTTCAAGTCCTTGATGCTCCTATAAAGATTAATTCTACTTTAAGTACTAAATTTTCCTTTATGAGGAGCATTTGATTGGACCATCACAGAGGAGTTATCACCTTTGTCACGGCAAGGGTGTATAATTTATTATTACACTATGGAATATCATCTTTTAATGTAATTTGTGTAGTAAATGGCACAAATTACAGAGATGCTATTGCTGAGGTCAACAGGGGTTACATCTTTTGAAGCTGGGACCCCCACAGAGGTCAGATGACAGAAAGGGTAGTGTGAATGGCATAGCAATGTGAAAAGGATTTTACTATATGGATGTGAAGTCTGCAAGGTGTGAGGTTCTACACTTGGGAAAAGTCTGAATGTCTCTTCATCGATTTGGCATGTACCTTGTAAGTGATGAGTAAATCTCTTTGATATGTAAATGCCATTAGCTTTGTTCTAGTATCATATCCAAAGGATGGACAAAAAACATTCATATTTACCCCCACAGAATAATAATAAAGCCTCATTTTTGTTATATTTGGAATGTGACAAGCGCCATCTTCTAACCAAGTCCAAACATGAGTGGCCTAACTTGACCCTAGGGAAAGGAATTGTGATGTCCGTCCTATTGGATCATGGGTGGGACGTGCAACATGTCTATGGAATGGGAAAATAATAACAAATTTGTAGATGCAATTATTATTTCTGTGGCAGGTACAAAAAAGAAGGTAGAGTCAAATGTTTCCATTTGGATTGACAGTGGTCTGGAACAAAGGAGGTGGTCGGTTATTATTACTGTAGGTATGCCTTAACTCCACCCCTGGGCAAGACTTGATAAACCACAGGGTATATATCTAATGATCCTGAAGGGTGTTTGTGTACTTGCTTGGGGCCAAGATCTAATTTTGAGTGAGTCACCATCTTTCCTTGCCAGAGACCCCCTGGACAGAAGTTGTACTTTGAAAAAACCTAAGTGAGTAATTAGGACTTCTGTATTTTATGCTTTTTGTTTTTATCTGTTGTTGGTGTAAATAATTTGTTTATCATATATTTTTATATGCACTGTGACTATCTTTTGCTCATAATAAACATTCATTTATTAAGTTTTGCCTTTGTCTGGTTAAGAATCACGTTACCTGAAGAGACTAGTTAGTATTTTTGCAATAACTTAAATATTGTACTAAGTAATATTTGGTGGGTTTTATTATTGATATACCTGGGGGGCCAAGGCACCCCATTTATAAATTGTCTTGGTAGTGGCAGCGTTAAAATAGTAATAGTTATATTATTATGTTTAAGTGTGGGTGGTTTTAAAAGGGGGATTTTGTCATTATTTCCGGTCTAGTGCAGACAAATAGTGAACTTTAACCCTTTCACCACCACAACTACGTCACACACACTCTTGGAGTAGGGTGTATTTGTGACAACCTTGATAGGTGAGGAATGCCACTGGAACAAGGTGAGCAAAACTTTTTTTTTTTTTAATCGATTTTTATGGGAAATGGAGGCGGGAACACCTGTCAAGAACTAGGGATAGGGGCACTACAGTTTTGGGAATAAACGTTTTTATTCCTTATGATATCATGTTTTTTTAATAAGCAAACTGTAGCAATACCATGTATCATATTCATTTTCATAATCTGGCAAAGAATATATCAAAGGTACCTTTAAAATTAAAAATGGCCTCAGTCGTTTCATTTAGTGCTTTGTTCCAAAACACACACTTTATATTTTGTGATGACTGTTTCTTGCATTTGATGGTACTTGATGTGTTATATAATCCATCTGAAGTCAGTATACGAGAAGTAACTGCTGGAGAACACATATTGACATATTTTGTCTGCCAATTCACTTCTGCCTCTGGGAAACCTAGAGACTGGCAAGTCAAAGACATTTCATTGCCATCACTGGATATCTCTGTATATCTGCTTATGTTTTCATATGAAGCTGCAATAGAAATCAGCAGAAAAGAAAATACAGCATTGTACAAAGATCTACTTGTAGCATTCCCTGTTAATATTATCGCACACGTGTTTAATTCACAAAATCCAGGTGGCCTTAAACAACAAATAAATTAAGAATAGCGACTGGCATTGAACATAACTAGACATTGTTGATGAAAGAGACAATACATTGAAGAGCAAAACAAAATGATCTATGGAAAATGTCACGGACGAGGTGTGCAAAATATTGACAAACTATAAGTGGGAGGTGGAAGAAATAATAGCATGTGGTGGATAAAAAAAGGAAGCATGAATTACTGGATTTAAATAGTTGGTGGGTTGGTGGCATATATGGGGTTGGGATGTCAAGTAGAAGTGATGACAAATGGGTCATTATATTATGAAAAATAGAAAATGAAAATGGAAGCAACTACATCATATGGACAGTGCATCATCACATGAAGAGGTGAAAATTATGAAATTGTTTGAATGTTTGATATATGGAAGTGAAGTTATGGAGATGTTGGCATGTAGGACTGTAGGGAAGGGAGTTAGGATTGGTGAAATTAAAAATGAATGTCATTAAAGATGGGCAGGCTCATTCTTTTTTGGAAGGTGGTCAAGCAATATGAAAACCATGCAAGATTAGAGATTGGCAATGAGGAGGACATGTGTGAAATCCTAATGACATGGAAGAAAGTTTAAATGCAGACAAGATTAGCAGCAAACACATATTTACTGAGTGGAACAGAAAATAGTAAAGTACGCATAATTATAGAAAAAGGAACACTATGACCAAGCAGAGCTGTAATTGGGAGCTACCAGCTATATTAGCTATAGCTAATTAGTTTTAAATATTTATGACAAACAAATCATTCATTGTCTTTGTAATATTTATAATGCTACACTACTTCATGTAAGGATCATAGAGGACAACTGACCTTGCACATCAAGGGTAGTTATATCATAGTCAGATCCTCCTAGCTGTAAAACACAGCGATAAGTTCCTGCATCAGAGAGTTTCACATGTGTGATCTCCAAAACAGCCTGTCCATTCCTCAGTTCATCCATCAACATAGTTATTCTCCTATTGTGAGCACGTTTGTGGTCTAACAATTCTATCTTCCCATTGTTAAGTCTCAATATTTCCACCCGAAGGCTTGAAGTTGAGTTGATGTATTCCCAAGAGGCCTTAAGTTGATCCATGTTAAAATTATCATTCACTGGGAAGTTGCAGACAAGTTGAACTATGTCCCCGTACCTTGCTATATGTTTCATCTTGTTTGCTTTCACTACAAATAAAGCTTGGGAGAAAAAAAAATCATATGAGCAATGATAATGCAATAATCCCTTTATATCGATATAAGTATGAATAGATGTATTTAAAGCCTATTGTAACAGCTAATCCAACATTTTCCCATTGATAAGCATTGAGAACCTGATACACACATGCGTCACTCGTGCATCCACGCTTCTCCACAGGAAAGCATTGACTCTGCAGTGCAGCAGAAGCATCTCTTGTGGCTGTTAGTACAATATTCACAAGAGGTGGACTTAACTTTGCAATTGGAGTTTTCAACAAGCTGCTGTGTTTTACATTGCAGAGTTAAAAGGCCAGATGTAACATGATGTTACGCTAAGATGTAAGGATACATAACCTTATGCTACACCACTTACCTGGTGCCCAACCTCCAGTTAGGTACCACATCAGTTTCACACCCTCAGACATCTTTGCAAGCATTTCTGATGCCAGATGCTGTAGTCCCTCCCCTTTTAGGATGCCATGAAGTCACACCCACTTCACAACATCATTGACTCAAAATTACACCATTCACTCACTTCCTCCCAGCACTGACAATCTTATATGGGCCCAGTTGGGCTGATAAAGGGCTGCAGCACCCAACTGGGCCCCTACTCAGAGATGTCCATGAGGTGCCTCAAAGTGTGAAGGACACTCAAGAGGCCACCCAAGCAGCTGCACTGCCTGTCATACTGCCAGAGCTTTATGTTTCCTTATTTCCTTAAATTTCACGCATCAATCTTTAAAGGTTGCCACCGTCTGTTCATTAGATTAGAATAAAGGGCAAACCGCTGGTATTAGAGATTGACTTACCTGATGTTTGATGTAAATTGGATGTTATGAGTATGAAAAACAGGAAGTTTAACATGTTCTCTTTTATCTGTAAAACACATATATAGATAAGGAACATAAAATTACACATCATAATTGAGATTAACAGTAAATCCAACAATGTATATATGTATCACTAAAGTAGACATGTTAGAGTACATGTTTAGCAATGATTACAGACAATATAGCTAGTGATTTTGATTAAAGGGACATTCCAGACCCCTAAACTGTGTCAGGGTAAGGGCGGTAAATGTGACCAGGTGACAGGCGTGACTGTGGCAGCATTTGGGGGGGGGTCCCGCGTTTGATAGGGCTTGGGGGTAGGTGTGACAGGGTGAGGGGAATAAGTGTGACAGCATTTGCAGGGGTGAGTGTGACAGGGTGAGGGGGTGAGTTTAACATGGTGAGAGGAATGAGTGTGGTAGGGTTAGAGGTGTGAGTTTGACAGGGTTTGGAGGCAGGTGTGACAGGATGAAGGGGTGAGTGTGGCAGGGTGTGGGTGACTGACTGTTTTGGAGATGATTGTGACAGGGTTTGGGTAATGAATGTGACATCGGTTGTGGAGGTAAGTGTGACAGGATGAGGGGGTGAGTGAGACAGGGTGTGTTAAAGCATTAGTGTGGAAGGGTAAGGGAGGTGAGTGGGATAGTGAGAGGTGGTGATTGAGGGTGAGAGACTGTGGCAGGATAAGTGAGGGAGTGACAATTCTGGGGGCTTAGTGCTTGTTCACGAATGAATTTGTATTTCCATCTTTTTCATTTTAGCATTATAGCAAGGGTACACAACATTAGAATAATGCTAATATGACATGGTCTGAATCCTAGTTTCTGAGTATTTCACAGTTCCACATTATTATGGAGTGCTAATGTAATAAATCGACTGTAGTTTCCAATATATGTTCTCATCAATTTCTCCATTCAATATTGCATGTATGTAAAAATAATTCTACTTTCACAAAAGTTGAGTACCACCAGCATGATCATAATTAGAAAGCAACTGATACCAGGGATGTGCATGGGCAAAAAACTGTATCTGCAAACATATAAAACATATTTTTACAGTCACTACCTCTACGTGGTGGCATCAAAAGTGGAACATTTAGGAAACATGCATAGAAAACTCTCTCAAAAAGAGTAGGTATGCCATAGTTGTGGTTGTGAACAAGATCATGCAACATTAATCACATAAACAGAGTAGCCACTGTGTTGCCACCAATGATATATTCTCTCGGTTATTGAGTTATTTAAGTGCATTTTTGGGCAAAATAATGTTGACACGTGTGCTGAAACCTTCCCTGTTATTACACTACAGTACGCTGTCTGTCAGTGCAACAGTTACATAATACAAGTTATGTAAATAAAACCAACACCACAGATTACATGAAGGTTATTCCAGTTATTCTTGATAATGGAGATCCCCATGAGATAATAATTTGCATGATCTCATTGCAGTCAGGGTAGTTAGTGTGGCGAAACCAACCTCGCCACGAAGCATTGGAGAAGCCTGGTTCCTCGCCTGTTGCCCTTGGACTATGGCCCCATGTTAAAAAGCCTTCTTTTCGCCTGCAGAAAAGGCTTGTTCGTGCCTTTCTGCCCGGCGTTCGGTAGACTCAATCTACCGAACAAACAA